GGGTACACCCTGGACAGGTCGCCAGTCCATCGCAGGGATATATATATATATATATATATAGGCTATATATATAGGCTATATATATATTATTTTTTCTTTGGGATTGGGTGGGGGTGTCACTGTAAGATTAAAATTTCTTAATGCACTAGTTTGCACAAACTACAAACTACTTTGCCGCAAACCACAAAACGCGCAAAACCATCATTTAAATAGGGCGTCTCCAACAGTTTTGCACCTGCCACCAGTTACGCAATCGCTCTTGTTAAATCACCCGCAAACCATGGTTCAGCCCCTCGCGCAAAATTCCAGTTTGCGAGCGCAAAATACTGCACGCAAAATTGGATCTTGATAAATCCGGCCCAAAGTCAGATATGGTTTTTCACTCAAAATTAATTCAGCTACAAGTTTTTCTTTTAATTATTTTATGCAATAAATATTTGACATATTGAGATATGGTGAATTTTAAAGAATTATTGATAATCTGGAAAGTGAAGGAAAATTTTTTTTGATGTAGTGTAGGACTCGTTTCCAGTGAGGGTTGCACTCCGCCAAGGTTGCCCTTTGTCACCGATTCTGTTCATAACTTTTATGGGCAGAATTTCTAGGCGCAGCCAAAGTGTTGAGGGGATCTGTTTTGGTGGCCTAAGGATTGCATCTCTGGTTTTCGCAGATGATGTGGTTCTACTGGCTTCATCAGAGCCTGATCTACAGCTCAGCATTTCAAGCTCGATGCCCTAACCACTAGGCCACCACTCCTCTGCTCTTGACCTGAGCCTAGCAGACCTGGAGGAGAAAAAAACCATGTGCGGATGCTGTTCCTAGACTTCAAACCAGCTTTCAACACCATCATCCCACAGCATTGATAGGAAAATTGGAATAGATGGGCTTCAATACACCCCTTTGCAAGTGGCTGCTAGACCTCCTCTCAAATTGACCTCAGTCAGTCCGGGTTGGACAGAACACCTCTGATATCATCACCCTAAGCACAGGCTCCAATCAGAGCTGCGTCCTGAGCCCCTGCTGTCCAGCCTGATGACACATGACTGTGTCCCCAGGTTCACCGCCAATCACATTGTGAAGTTTGCAGATGACACTACAGTGGTGGGCCTCATAAAGACTACAATGACCAGGACCACAGAGAGGAGGGGGGGTAGCCTGTGGGCAGGTGTAGAGACAAGAGCCTGATCCTGAGCGTGGAGAAGATGAAAGAGATCATCTTGGATCATCTTGAACTGGCCTAACCACACTCCACTGCTCATCAACAGCTCAGCTGTAGAGGTGGTCAGCAGCACTAAATTCCTGGGGGTGCACATCAAATACAACCTCTGACCAGCTGTCTCACAGTGTGGTGTGGAGGCTGCAGCGCCTGAGACTGGAAGAATGTGAGAAGAGTGTTGAGGGCAGCAAAGAAGATCATCTGGGCTCCTCTTTCCTCCATTGAAGATATTTCATCCTAGAGCTTCATGTCCTGAGCCGGTAACATCATCAGCGACCCCTCACACTGCCAGAATGGACTGTTCTCCCTGCTGCCCCATTAGACACTTATAAACATTATATTTGCACGATCCACGCAGCTGATTTTTTTAATAATCCCTTTAAATAGATCACAACTCAATGTTCTATTTCATTTCGCACCATAGTAATTTTGCAATGCACGTAACCTTTCCATATCAATTCCTTTTGCACCATGACTTTAAACTTGTTTTTCCTTTTCTCCTAAGCTGTTTACATTCTGATCACTGCTGCACTTTATAAATGGAAATGTTTCATTTCACTGTTGTAAGCTGCTCATTCACTGTTGAAAAGCTGTATGCATCGAAATTTTGTTTTGTAAACACTGTGTATACAAAATGACCATAAATGTCTAAGTCTATTTCTACAGATTAGAGCATTACAAATGTGAGTATCAAAAATTTACGAAACAATCTTAGCTTTTTTTTAAAGACTTGTTTGGTGTATGGAATACATGGCTTTGCTAAAAATATGTCTTTCAAAAATTAATTTGGGACATGCTATTCTGTTGAACTGCTTTACAGATACTGTATCTATAAGAAGGCTATTGTTTGAATGAAGAAAAGAGAAAAAGGGCCCTTATGCAAACAAAAAACCTGCA